CATGGATAAAGATAGCACAAGTAGCCTTTCCCTCTCAGTTTTCCCTTTGGTAACAGGTATTCAGTGCATGGAATCCTTCCCCAGGATTTGGCAGCTTCTTCTTTCCCTGTCCCTGAGTGTCCCAGGCCGTTTGCTGGATTGCAGTGTTATCTCTGAGGCCTCTGGCTGTGCAGCTGCTTCTGGCTGCTGCGGCTGAACACCTTTGGGGTCTCCAGCAGTTTCTGGGGAGGGGTCAGCCCAGGCAGGAGGAATGTCTGAGGGTCAATTGAGTCAATTGTTTTCACAGAATTAATCTCTGATTGGGACAAGCTTTTGGTGTGCTGGTGGAGAAGAAATGGCCCAGGAGGTGGCCATGAACCAGTGTGGGAAAAGGGACCAGAAGCCTCCAGGCCAGGCTTGGGAAAAGTGTTGTGATGAAGAACAGGGAGGTGACTCTTTCTGTGTCCTCAGCACTGGCCATGTCCCCTGTGAGGTCTGTGGGCACTTTTGGGGTTCCCGGTTGGAAAATCACACGGAGTGAGTGGAGCCTGGCCAGGGAATGGGCACAAAGATCCTGAAGGGGCTGGAGCATCTTGGCTGGAGGAGAGGCTGAGAGAGCTGGGAGTGCCAGGAGACAAGGCTGGCCAGAGCAGGGTCATCAGTGGGGGTGAATCCCTGGTGGCAGGGAAGGAAGTGGAGGGAGCCCAGCTCTTGTCAGCAGAGCACACGGGCAGGACAAGGGGCCACTGGTAGCAGGGAAAAGAGATGGAATTCCAGAGGCCAAGAAGACAAGCCTTGTTCGGTGTGAGGGAGGTCACAGAGCGGAAGAGGAGGTGGAGTCTCTGTCCTGGCAGATCTAACACTGAACTGTCCATGGTCTTGGAAAAACTGCTCTGGCTTGTTTTGCTTGAACAGGAGAGTTGAAAAACGTGCACTACAGAGTTCCTGTCCAACGTGATGATTTTGTGACTCTGATTTTATTGGGAGGACTGAAGAGTCCTGCTGGGTTATTGAGTTTGTGCAGTGTGTGCTGACCCAGAGAGACTTTGGCAGAGGCTGTGCAGGAGAGCGTTCTTGTGGGGAAGCCTTTGGTGCAGCAGGTTTGTGTGTAATGTCCTGGAAGGGTCCCAACCCTGAGCAGTCTGTGTGTTAGTGGTTGTGATAGAATTGTTAAGAAAGGTCTTACAGCCATTTTCACCAACCCCAATGGCCTGTTGAATCCTGGCTTGTACTCAGTGAGTTTGGCAGACCAATAAAACAAAAAAGAAGATGAGTCACGACAGACTGTGATGCAGGAGAAGTTTATTGAGACAACAGAGAGAAAAGGAACAAGCAGCCAGGGAAAGGGATCTGGTCTGAGGTGCCAGGAGGGCGACCATCAGCCAAGGTCCTTCCCTTGCAGGAGATTTCTCCAGAGCCCCCAGGTCTTCCTGCTGCCCTTGTTGGGAGCAGCCCAGCGGAGGTGGCCGATGGTGTGTGTGTTGTGAGAAGGTGTTTGCAGCAGAGGGGACTGGGCAGAACCCAAGGGGCGCTGGAGAGAAGGAAGGGGGAGAAGAGGAGGAGGGAGCCAGGCCATGTTTGCAGCAGGGCAGGCTGGCCCCTTCCCTGCTTCCTTGCTGGGAGCCCTGAGAGCAGGAGCTGGAAGTGCTGAGGCCATGGGAGAGCCTTGGGCTGGAGAGGAATCCCTGTTGCAGGTGGAGGATTGAAGGTGGTGGGTGGTTGATGTTGGGGCAGTTGTTTGGGGGCTCAGCAGGTGGAGCAGCCCCTGGTGCCGTAGCAGCCCAGGCCTCCCAGGCCGTAGCCAAAGGCACGGGCAGAGCCGAGGCCGTAGCCAAAGGCCCCAAAGGCGCCGGAGATGGGCTGTCCCTGGGCAT